ATGCAATGCAATAGTTCTTTCTCCTTACAATTGACTTCAGGATCTCTTGTGGATACCACAACCCATCATTGCTGAAATATTTTATAAAATTGTGCTGTGTGCAATGTGAATATAGTCTCACACATTATCCTATATGCTCTGAAGTATCTTTGGATTACTTTTAATTTTGATTCTAGTTTAAGTACTATGTAAATTGTTCCACTGAATTGTTGAATGAGTAATGACAAGAACAGAAGAGATTTTATAGAAGAATATTTTCTTTTTCTAAATTTCAATCCATGCATGGTTTCATCAGTCCAGTCCATGGATTTAGTCCATGGATACAGACTGTTAAATGCACATTTTCTAGGAAATATTTAGATAAAACTATTAATGCAATTGAAACTTAGATTAAAAATGACCCAGATTAAATGCTGAAATATCCCAGCATGACCTCTGTTCTGGTTAGTCTTTAGTAAATGTCATAAGCTCAAGTCATCTGGGAAGAAGTAACCACATTAAGAAAATCTCCTTGTATCGAGGTTAAATAAGGATCAGGATAAAAAATAGGCTGAATAGATGTTTATTCAGGGATAAATAACTTACAACCTAGACAGATGAACACCAGGAAATTCCACCGCATGCTCTCCTGCCAGCAAGAGAGCTTTTCCCAGCTCCTCCTCTGACCTCCTTCTACAGGTCACTTCTGCCCATGGCTCCAGCCCCAATGGGCGTGGTCAGTGCCACAGAAGGACTATCTCACTATGCTCCTGTAAGACACTTTGATTGGTGATTGACATGGGAGATCACAGCCCACTATGTAAGATGCCACTTCTAGACAGGTGGTCCTGGGATCATAAGAAAACAGGATGAGCAAGCAGTTGAGAGCAAGCCAGTAAGCATTCCCCTCCTTTGCTTTTGCTTTAATCTCTGCCTCCAGGTTTCTGCCTTGAGCTCCTGCCTTGACTTCCTCTGGTACAGAGTGTGTTGTGGAAGTACAATATGATATAAAACCTTTCTGCCCAAGTTGCTCTTCATCATGGTATTTTCTGACAACAATAGAAACCATAACTTAGAGAATATTCTTCTTGGAGTAAATTATCTTCTTGTTTTAGACAAATGTTTATTTCTTCATCTAATGGATAGATTTCAAGGAAGAATGTTGAACATGGTTTAAAATACATTGAACTACATTATAAAATTCCTGTAATATTTATATCCTCAATATTGGTAGCAATAAGACATCATGAGAGATTGCAAAATATAAAAAATATCTGAAGGGTATGAAAGGTTTCTTCTTTGGAAGGTGTGCCCCTAAATCCAGAGGATTAGGAAGGCTAAGAAGTTTTCAAGTTTTCAGGGGAAACCTAGAGTTAAGTTTCAATTTAGTAAAAGTTTAGAAATGAATGTGGTGAGAAATAAATTTGCTTAGTTCTCAGGAAAGAGATGGGAGGAGGGTATATTGATCAGCATGCTGTGAGCTATGAAACACTCACACTATAAGACTAGATGAGTTTATCACTGAAACCATTAAGTGATGAGGGTAGATACCTAAGATATGATCAGAGCAAATGTTAACCCTTGGGAGCGATGTCTTTAACAGGAAAAAAAAAAAAAAAACCCAGGAGCAAATGAAGGGTTAAATACATTAAGGGCATGTGTGTGTGAGAGAAGAGTCTCTATGGATTTCCTCATACTCAGAAAATCCTTATCAGGACTAGAGAAATGGCTCAGTGGTTAAGTAATCTTGCTGTTATTATAACAACTTTAGTTCCATTCCTATCACCCACATCTGAAAATATAGGTCCTATGTAGCTGTGTTGAGTGCTTTTAACTACTGACATATCTCGCCTTGCCCATAAGTGATTATTATGGCTGTACTATCTAGTTTGAGGTGGATTGCTTCATCAGAATCCTTGAACATTGCTGTGTAAATCACCATTATGTTCCCAAAGGGTGATAAACTAACTTGATGTGAGATAGCATTCATGCATGTGGCTAATAATAGACAGTCCAAACAACTTTGTTAAGTGTTTCACTACTGAGAATACTGAAAAGTGTATTCTCAAAATCAAGTAATAAAATTGATGAATCTGTTAGCCTGTTTAGATGAAGGCCATGAAGGGCCATTTCTATTACCTTAAAAAAGAAAACACACTTCAAGATGATATTTTTATATGCGAGAGAGTATGTGTTCTGACTTGGTAATACAGATATTGACTTCTGAAATGGTTGACTTTAGATGATCCATTTGTGTGCAGGAAATTGAGAAGTAGGAGTGACTGAGGTCTCAAAGGGTTGTTCTAGGATAATTTTATTGTTAAGTTTGATAAAGCAACATCTCAGAGAAAATATATCTGCATTTCAGTGAAATATGAGATTTCTGAAGGTATGAGATGGAAAACTTATTTCTGGGTAACAAAATATTTAAATAGATTTCAAATTGCTTTAGCAATGTTTAGTCCTGAATGAAAGAAAACATCAGATAAGTAGGATAGATAATCAGAAATATTATAAGATAATTTTGTCTAGATTGTCTGGATTATCCTGGATGTATCATTCAATATCAAAAGTGCTCCTTTTAGACTTGGGCAGGAGCTTGGCAATTGAAATGCAGGTTCCTGAAAACCATGTCAAGGTCCAGAAGACATTATCTGTTGCCATGTGAGGACAAACTCAGATATACTTTTAGTTTTGTCATGTGTAAAGACACTGGTGAAAGGATTTTTTACTGTACTCACCTGATGTTAATGTCTTTTCTTTACAGTATAACATATGCTCATTTACCACTGAAGATAAAATTGAAAGAGAAAAGAGAAACAACAGGACTGAGCTAATCTCACTAAGGAATCTTATCACACAGCAGCAGTAGTATAGATCTACAGATTGATTTAGACAGATACTTTGGAGATGGTTCTATGATATCAGGTTTCTCTCTTAATCATTTGGTCATTTGATTATCTGTAATAACAATCTTGGAATTCTCCTACTCCCTCAGCTTCCCAGAAGTGATATATGAAGATATGTTTACCAGGTGCTGCTTCAGGGCTCCTCAAACTTTTAATCACAACAACAATATCCAAATATAGGCATATATGTATATACATACATGTGGGGGGTATAGTTATATATGCACATATAGAAATACACTTTTTACCACATGTATTCTATCGATATCAATTACATTTAGTTTTTAAAAGAGGATTGAATGTATGTTGTTTATATGTGTGTACATGGTTTGCATGTGGGTAGGTGCACATATGAGGGTTTTCAAATAAAATTGTATGTACATGCACATGATGTCTGAGGTGCATGTCAGGAGGCATTCTCAATCACTTTTTTACCAAATTCATTGAGACAGGGTTCCACAATCAAACCTATAGCTTGTCTATATGGCTATTCTTGCTAACTGGCCTTGGGGATCGAGGCCCTGCTGGTCAGAAATTACAGTCTATCCATGCCCTGGAAGCTTTGTCCAAGCTCAGCAACATGAAGTACCTGCAGAGAGGTTTCCTGGTGTCTACCTGCCCTTATTTGGAGGATGTCTCTAAGCCCTGATGCATGACTTATATCAGTGATGACCTTTGACATAGTCCCCCACAAATGATCTTCCCCTGAAGCCAAATGACAATTATGTCAATTTTCTTTTCATTGTGATAGAGCCATGTTTCCACTAATCAAGTTACGTGATAGGATCATGCCACTTAATTTGAATTAGGGTTTGTCCCCAGGCTTTCTGAGCCTATATATTTCCTATACTTTGGAATAAAGTTGAGCTGTCTCACTGAAGTCATATTCTGGAGAGCTATCTCAGTCTGCACCCTTTTTCCTACTTAAGCTCCCTCCACACTGGGAGGAGGGACTGGCGGCTAATGACCCGAAGAAGAAGAACCACAACCTGTCTTACTTTATCTTCTGAACCTGGTGTTAAAGGCAGAACCACCAAGATCATTCAATATTTGTGTGAGTGCTGAGGATACAAACTCTGGTTTCCACACTTGTTTAGAAAGCATTTCAATTCCCCACGCCACTTTCTAGTCCCCAGGCCTAGCATTTATAATAGGTGGGTATATTTTTTTTCCAAGACTATAGAGATTAGGGAAGAAGAGGTAGCTAAGTGTTTGAGAGAGCACACTGCTTTTGCACAGACCCTAGCCAGCACCCATGATATATGGTGTGTATCTGCCTGTAACTACGGTTCCTGGAGATGTGACACTAACTTGAGACTCCTGAGGCATTTACTCTTGCATATGCAAATACATACACACTAAGATACACATAAATAAACATTGAATTCTACTTCAAAAAAGTTTCTGGAGGCTAGGGAGATGGCTCAGTGATTAAGATCATTGGCTGCTCTTCCAAAGGACTAGGGTTCAATTCCTACCATCCACATAGCAGCTCATAACTGTCTGTAACACTCTTTTCAGTGTATCCAGAACCATTATAGGGACATACATTCAGGCAAAAGCTCCAATGCACATGGGAAAAAGAAAAGAAAAAAAGATAAAAAGTTTAAGGCCAACCTGAGATAAATTGCTAGACCCTGTGTTGAAAATAAAACAAAGCACACATGTGAGGATAAAACATGCCTGGAATTGCTGTCCAGATCATTTAAGTAATGGCATTTTGAATGTGGTACTCATGACTTGTGAAGAAAAATGTAATTGTGACTCTAGCTTTAGCTCTTTTCAAGGATGTGGCTTCCACAGTTGCTTATAACCTAAGGTATTTGTGAATATACTATTTAAACAAAAGCAACCAGCAAAGACAGCATAATTATAGAACCAGAAAATCATCAGTATCTACTCTAGTATACAATTTAAATTTTACAATTGCAGGTTTCAAAAGTAGTTTTATTATTAGAATAATTGAAAATGGCAGCAAAGTTATCATCTGCAATTTAATATAATGCTGCAATTAGTGACTGATCTTAACAACTCTATTTCTGTTCTATTTTAAGATAGACACTGAGCTTTTGTGCTAAACTAAATTTACAAAGAGAAATATGTAAGACTTACCAAGGAAGAGCCTCCCCTGTAGAGACGTGGTGACTAGAGGATGGGAAGTTTGAAACTCCTCAAGATTGCCCTGAAGAAGAAAATGGGGACACCTTTAATTCACATCTGTGGGGACTATTGTGTTCCAAGTCTATGTGAGTAATTAAATGAAAAGGCCTGGGAGTACTTACAGACTAACGAGATTGACAAATTATTGTTAATAACTCAGTATAATATGTAAACCTATCTTAGTTGCTTAATATAAAGTACTACATCTCATGATATTGGAATATGATGTCTAATCCTTAAATATTTCTCTGTTCTATACTGTCATGCTATAGGACAAGAATACTACTTCCTTTTCCTGAAAGTTAATGTAATTTCTTAAAACATACTTTGAGTTTTCTGTGTGAGATCTGGAAATCTGGTTTTGATTTTCTGCATTTCAATGGGAAATATAGATGTCAGACTTTCCCCTAATGTTTGCCAATGAATATACAGAAGATTTCTCACTGAAACATGAAGCATCCATCTATCAAACTGTGATTATTATCTGCAAACTTCTAGTTTCATACTCAATTTCTAGCAATACAACTGGAAAGTTGACCACTCTGATGTTAACAGTATAAAACACTGAGGCCACAGCTAATGTCAACTATGTAAAGATAGTCCTCCAAACATCTGAAGAAAAAACATGCAAATCAGTAGCTGAATGTTTATCCATAGTTATCCAATAACCAAAAAAAAATCATTTACAATTAAATGGCTCACAGAATTTAATGACAAAAGGTCAAACTGTTATGTCTGAAGTAGTCAAATAAATGAAATCTATTCAGGGTAGACATTTGCATCTGAATACAAAATACTTTGTACAATTTTTACCCATTTCTGAGCATGAAGTTCAAGCCTCCATCACGATTGGCCACATGTAATTCCTCACCATGCATACCTAAACCTCTTAAAATTCTTCTAGAAGTTTTTCTAGGAATCTATTGTTTATTTACTACCTCTAGAGCTCCAGTCTGGCCCAGTGGGAGCCACAAGAATCTGTGGGTCTGGTGATCACACTAGTTTGTTTATTACTAACATGTATTACATCTATTTTTCATTTCTCGTGTTATGAGCCTTATTTCTTCTATGAAGTAAGTTCAGGTATTTCTTTCTATGTCTGTGTGAGCTTAAACTTTCATAGAAATTGTACTGTAGTTTCAAGTCAAATAGCACTACATATTGAAATTTAGGTCAGCCTGGGAATCTGAGACTCTCATACAATAACAAAATAAAATATTAAAAATATCTAACAAATTAGGATTATTTTTTTGGAGACTATTTTTGTGTTAATTGGGTGACTATGCACCAGATAACCAAGTCTAAACAAATTGGTATGAAAATACCTACTGGATGAAACAAATAACTTAGGCTTTGAAATTTGTTTTCTTTTAAAATTTATGTTGAAAACTATATCTTTATATATAATTTTATGATATACTAAATGATTTTCTGATTTTATTGTGTAAAAATTTGAATTTACATAATAATTATATTTATGTTAGGTTAGAGTTTAATAATGCTATTTATATCTACAAAACTTATAATCAAAGAAGCTAATGAAAGAAGGAAACTGTTAGCTGGATCATTTAGTAATTGTTTATCGGTTAGCTTTAACATAAAGGAAATTGGAAATACTTCATTTCATATACTCTTGATGAATTATGCTTAATATGTTAATTTTTTGCAATAATCTTCTCAGGAAGTTATCAGAACACAAAGCAAAATAAGCAAAATTTAGCAGTTACTATGTATCAACATACTTTATATTCACTCTCTAATTGAATGTGTGCTTTTAAAAATAAGTTTATTTTTATTTTTGTGTTTATCTATCTCTTTCTATGTGTGTGTGGATACTAGTAGACTCCAGAAGATCATGTCGTATAGCCTGGAGCTAGAGTTACAGGCTGTTATGAATAGCCTTAGGTGGGATGCTGGGAAAACTACACTTTCATTCTCTGTGATATCATTACACATTAAAAACTGCTGTATCATCTTTCTGCCCCCATCCCCAATAGTATTAATTTTCAAAACAATTTCATGAAATACAAGGTACTGTTGTTTTCTTATGTTTTCAGATTAAAAACTTGGTAAAGAGAATTTCACTTACTTTTCTTATAGTTTCTAAGTAGGTAGAGCTGGAGCTAAAATATAGGTAGTCTGACTCTCCCTGAAACTCTAGCTGCAGTATATTTCCTTACATGTCTAAAAGTTGCACAATGAGGTAGGTGAGGAAATGCTGGGAGGACAGGGCAAGACATGTTACTAGTTCTCCATTCTTCTTCCAGTGTACTTACACATCTAGATACTGTTGAATAAATGCTTTCTCATAAATGAGTATAGAATTAATAAATCCATGATCTATCTGTAAATGGGATTGTATGTGGATTATAGTCTCCTGATAGCTACACAATCATTGAACCTTATCAAACAATTTTAGTAATATATTAGCATTTAAAGCTGGGAGCAATTTTGCTGACCTGAAATATCACCTCTTGAGAGGCTGAGGAGGAGTTTGAGGGTACCTTGAATTTTGTAGTGAATACCAAGCTAGCCAAGGAATCTTGGCACTTGGATACATTTTATTTCAGTGTGTGTGTGTGTGTGTGTGTGTGTGTGTGTGAGAGAGAGAGAGAGAGAGAGAGAGAGAGAGAGAGTTTGTACATATTATAATTTATATTAGGGAACTTAACAAAAAATTTAAAATGTGTTGTAGAATATTATTTGAAGATGCGTTACATTGCTTTCGCTGTGAAACATTTGTTTAATGATGGAAAGATGTATTGGCATTCCCTTATATTTTATTTGCTTAACTCTGTGAAGCTGTATTACATTGACTGTCTAAAACATCTGATTGGTCTAGTATGGAGATGAATGGCCAATTGCTAGGCAAGGGAAAGGACAGTTGGGGCTGCTGGGTGACAGACTAAATAGGAGAAAAAAGACACCAGAGGCCAGGCTCCCAGATACATAACAAACCACTGAGTAAGAAGTAAAGAAAGGTGTAGAGAAATAGAAAGTTAAAAACCTAGAGGCAAAAGATAGACTGAATTATTTTAAGTTAAGAAAAGCTGGCTAGAAACATGCCAAGCTAAGGCCGTGTATTCATAAGAAGGAATACATCTTTACATCTTTGTGTGATTTATTTGGGTGCTGGGGATCAGCCCCCCAAAGAATAAAGAGTAAACAACAATAAAAATGAGTCTATGTATTCAAATGTCTATTTGAACAGCTGAAGCATATGAACAAAGTGTATTGCACATATACAAAAATAGATGAGTTCAGCAATTCTGGAGAGTAGTTTGAGTACTTTTTGTGATATAAAATTCAAGTTTCCTTAATCTAGCCCTCTATGTTTCAAAAATGAAGTAATATTTAGTGGTGGTCAGTGGTAAGTTTATGCATATGTTAAACTTTTCATTCCAGAGGCTCAGTAACAAAATTTCAGGTTATTAGAAAAACAAATGTCATTCAGGTTTGCAGCCTTCAAATTTTCATCTAAGAGATGATAGTGCCTTTGGGGTTTTTTTTAAATGATATTTTTTTATTTAAATTTTAAACAAGCTTGTTGTACATGTTAATCCCAGTTCCCTCACCTTCCCCTCCTCCTCTGTTCCCCTCCCAATCCATATTCCATCCCCTTTCTGCTCCCCAGGGCAGGTGAGGACTTCCATGGGGGAGTTTCAAAGTCTGGTACATCATGTTTCTAGGCTGAGAGAGCATCCCTGTATGTGGAATAGGCTTTGGTTTCTAAGGCTTTAAGAAATGACTATCAATCGAGGCAAATAGAATATAATGTTACACTGCTGACCAAAAGTATTTCCATTGCTTTCCTCTGCTCTTAGAAACTGTCTTTGCTATGGTTTCCTTTTATCTTCTGTCTTGTTAAATTTCTTCATTTTCTGGCAGTTTTTATTTACTTGTTTATGTCTTGCTTTTTTCCTTGATGGCAAAACAGACATAGACACACAAGCAAGCTTATGTGTAAAGAAACAATTTTTAACCTTATTATTTTCATTAAATACTGCTGTTACAGATTCAGAAGCCAATTCATCATTCTTCTTACACACTAATTATTTGAAAAATAATTGTCAAGTTGATCAAGGTATCAATTAAATTTATCCCATGTGTCCTATTTAACTTTAGCTAAGAGTCACCTGAGAATGCAGTCTTAATTAGGGAATGGCTAAGATCAGATTGACTTGTGAGAAGTCTCGAGGATGGTCTTGATTGTTAACTGAAATGGGTGGGGAGTAGCCAGGTGAGGGTAGGAGCTGCAGGTGGCCTTTGCTGAATAAGAAAGCTGGCTAATCTTGAGCCTGTGTGTAAGCCAGCATTTCACCATAGTTTCTATTTATGGTTTCTGCCTGAGTTCTGGCCCTGCATTCCTTCAATGATGGTCTGTAACTTGTGAGCTGAAATGAACCTTTTCTTTCCCTAAGCAGCTTTTTGTCAGAGTGTTTTATCACAGAAAAACAGAAATATTTATTCCAAGATTTGAATTCTTCAAACACCAAAGCCAACAGTAATTTACAAGCAGCAAAAGACATAATTGTAGGGAAAAATGAAAAAAAAATATGAAGTCATGTTCTGTTTTCATTACAAAATAAATTACGTAAAGAGAATGTCTGAGGATTGTGAAGATGCACAATTACAGGGAAAAGTAAAAAGATAAAAAGGAGTTCTTCTCTTGAATGTATTTTAGTTTTCTGAAATTAAAGGCTGCTATTAACATGTATTAAATGTACATTTTCTAATAATACCTATAATTAAAAAAATTATGCATGACTGTCTTTGTGAGTATAAGGCCACGTGGTTCATGGCCAGCCCCCTGGAGGGGCTACACTTTTGCAGACTCATATCTCATTATCTCAGCTGTACTCAATTATCAAAATTGTTTTGGTTTTGCTTAGGAATCTTGTCTTCTCTCTTTCCTGTCCAGCAGGTAGCCAGGTTGAACCCAGATGCATATATCAAATACTCTAAAACCCAAATCCTGATACTTCAAGCCTCTTCCAGACTCACTAACCCACACTGTCATTTCTAGATA